CAGAATAAGGTAGCCATCATCGACCCTTTCAACCTTTCTTGTAGCGCGCTAGAAACCTTCAACCGACGAAGACTCAGATCCCAATCAAATTGTTTAGTATTACCCCTGGATACTATCCTATTTGTCTTCCGTGTAATTATTTTGTATGGCCTCTTCTCCAAAGCTGTCTCCATGGTTGACGCCGTTTGGCAAGATTATGATAGTACCCATACCAGACCATCTCCCTCTCTACTGCTTTCAAGAAACTTCCGTCCGTCGACGAACAAATGAGCAACCGTATAGCCCCAATTTGACGGCAGGCTGCCTCCGCGTCGCTCTCCGGTACCATGTTTGGTCTCTTGCGCTTGGTCTTACACCCAATTAAGAAGATAGGAGCATCAGAAGCAAAGTATAAGGCCATCGGATACCACTAAAGAACAAAGAATCGTAAGTCTATCCTGTCGCCATCATGGGTGTCTCGAAAGGAGTAATAGTTGGTATATACCTTATATATTGCATTGTGAAGGGTTTCAGGTTTCGATATATTATAACAGATTGCAATCACATCGGCCGTTCGGAGTGGGCTGTCTTCCTCGGCTAAAGTTTCTCCATAGCTTGCATTTCCATAATATCTGTAGAAATCGACATATATTTCTACTGTTGAGTGTGCCAAACGTCTTTTATCATGAAAGATGGATTTTAGCCGTTCTTTGATGGAGCCGTAGTGATCGTCGGATTTCTCATCCATAGGTTTGGGTTGTCCGTCAGGGAGGATAGGCGACGAGCTTAGTGGGAGTGTGTAGCTAGTGAGATAAGACTGCTTAATTGTCAGTCCTATCTCTCGAAAGGTTCATCACATAAGGAACAGACCTGGCCAACTTTTTGGTCACCAAACATCACAAGACTGATCCAAGCCCGGTCGACAGGTTTCTTATCTGAACGGTGCGGGTTTGTAGCCATTCGTTATGAAATTGCTGGGTGCCTTCGGTAGCAAGGGTGTGATGTGCTCGAAGGTTTGTTGTGGGATGGCTCACGGGAAGTCTAGTGAGTGGGATTCCTAAATAGAGTGCTTCACAGGAGCTCTACACTGCAATTTTCCATTTTCCGAGCTGCGGCTGTTGAGAGAGGAAGAGGGGAAAGTTAAGTCAGCAGAAGCCGGCCGAGCGGCGGGGCTAGAATGGCTCAACTTGCTCCCAACCTACTCCGACACTTCACTCGTGAGATTAGAAGTGGTAATTTATTCTA